CAGTCCTGGCATTTGGAACACAATTTATTCTGTAGGATACTAAGATTAATACAAGGGATTTTGGGTCACGGATGGGTTTCTTAAACTGTTGGGTTTGGTTTTTTTTGGTTTTCTTGAAAATCATTGTACAGAATGCTAAGGATTTCAAACCCCTGATTCTTCTTCAAATATACTGTATTGCTATGGGTTTGCATCTTTTATTACTCAGCTTCTAGGTAAGAAAATAGCAACATTCCTCTAAGATAATTACATAGAAGGATAAAAAAAAGTGGCATGTTTTATTACTTGTGTTCACCCAAAGATGGTGAAAGAAGGTAAAAGCAAACTTCAGATTTTTTTTTCTCAAATGCTTTCTTCACAGAGGCAGAAGTTGAGTATGGTGTTATATTTTCCTTAAAATATATTATTGCAAGATAACATCATTTTTTGTTAACAGTAAAACTTTGTTTTGAATTATTTTGTTTTCAAATTCCTTTATTCCTGTAGTGTCCTTTAAACTCTGTTAATGACGGACAACTCTGTTTGGTAACCAATTCTTTTTTTTCATGCACTCATAGAATTATAACATTTATGTAATAATGTGTAATTTCAAGGAATATATGGTCATGTTTTCAATGAGTTACAACTTTTCTTCCCCCTTTCATTTGCAGCACTGCCTCCTAAGCCACCGAAACCTAATACCGTAACTAACAATAGCATGAATAACAACATGTCTTTACAAGACGCTGAATGGTACTGGGGGGATATCTCAAGGTAAATCACCTCCAGACATGTATTTCTTATGCTTGGCTTTGTGCTAATCTTGCTGTGCTATTCTGTGTATATGTATTAGGCTTTGAGTGTAGAAAATTCACAGTTTTAAGAGCAATTTATGATAGTTCCCACCATAAACATATTACAGTTGGTTTTATTCCAAATATGACAAAAAGTTACTGGCAGTCACTTAGAACGTAGTATGGAAAATGATTGTTCTGTTACTTTAAGACTTATATGAAATGTTAACATTAAAAGATAGCACTAAGAAAGAATTTTGTTCTTGTCTTTCATTCAGAACCTCAGCTGTAGGCACCATAGTCAGCAAGTCAGACTAACAAGTGCCATATATTAGCAACATTTTTATCTGTACTATATATAGCTATATTAGACCAGCTCTGGCCGCTCCAGTTGCATAGGCTTGTATGAACAAGCAGAAAGAGCTTTGCATGAATAATAATTTTGTCCAGTAGTGAGAGCACAGAGTGTGCCATTTTTTATCCTGCTTGTTCTCTAACAATGTTAAATAAGATAATATATAGTTGTATTAATACGGAGACATAGAAGGCTTCTAAAACACATTTATTTCAAAACATGTGAATTTTAATTTAGTGCACTGTGGAAGAATAAGTGTGTGAGAACTGATTGAAATGATTGGTTACTTTTGCTTTCATTTTAGAGAAGAAGTAAATGAGAAGCTTCGAGACACAGCTGATGGTACCTTTTTGGTACGAGATGCTTCAACCAAAATGCATGGGGACTACACACTGACACTGAGGTAAGACTAGTTACACTGGGTCTGTAATGCTTGATAGTAAAATGCAATAACTGCTCTTAATGCAGAGTATTCTTTAGGAAATAGTACTTGAAGCATGCCTAACCTTTCAATATACTTTATTTGCAGGAAAGGAGGAAATAACAAATTAATCAAAATTTTTCACCGAGATGGAAAATACGGCTTTTCTGACCCATTAACGTTCAGCTCTGTGGTCGAGCTAATAAACCACTACCGGAATGAATCTCTGGCCCAGTATAATCCTAAACTGGATGTAAAATTACTCTATCCAGTATCTAAGTACCAGCAGGTAATTTAGTTTATTTTCTTTGCATTTCACTTAAAGACAAAGAAACTATTGCTGAACTTGCCAAACATGAAGAACTTCAGCTCTGTTACTGTTTGAAAAATCATGTGGGTACATGTGGGATATTTTTGTTTAAAACCAACTCCATGTTTTGCATGTAAATATTTAAAGCTTCAAATAATGCAGATACACTGTTAGGAAATAGACATCTCAATAATTATCTCACTCAATGGTGAAATATGTAATTTTCAGTATAAAGCGAAGCACTTGCAATGCAAAATTCCTTTTTGTCATTAATATCTCATTTGCATATTATGCATTTAGTGTATCTTCATATTGGTGAAAGAGGAGTCACATTTCCATGTAATTATCTAAGCATTTTTAAGCAGTTTTATCCAGAAAAGCTGGGCAATATAATTGTTTCCTTACAGAATATCTTTCTTTCTGCTTATCTTTCCAGGATCAAGTTGTAAAAGAGGACAGCATTGAAGCAGTAGGAAAGAAATTACATGAATATAATACCCAGTTCCAAGAAAAAAGCAGAGAATATGACAGACTCTATGAAGACTACACAAGAACATCTCAGGTAAGCTGAACCAAAGGGAGAATGGAAGACTTTGCAGATTTTGAAGAATATTATTGTGAATTCATAACTGTCATCTTCCTACTCCTCTCTTCCACCATCACTGCATTGCCCTGATGTGCTTGCTCAGAATAGTGCAATTGCTTAGTCATGTTTGAACAGCCACCACCTCTAAACTAAGCCACCCTCTGCCCAAGTCTGACAGCTCCATCCAAAGCAAGTACATAACTGGCTTGATTTACACCACTTCTGCATACTGGCCTCGTCAAGATGAGTTACAGTTTTCAAGGCATATTTTCAGGGAAGCATAGCATTTTATTTTGAGTTTTTGAAGGGTCTGGTTTACCTATGCAGGATAAAGAGATGGCGTGTGTAGACAAAATGCAGGAATGAAAAGCTGCCTCTTTCAGCTTAATAAATTATTAGCCATGCCTTGAAGTGCCACTGAAAGTCCAGTTTTAAACTTCCAGAATCATGACCGCTTCTTTAAGTGTGCAGGAAAAACACCTAAAAAGAATTGAAGAAAATTGGAGAATTGCTGCCAACTTGAACTAATGACTTAAGAGTTGGCTGGCAACTAGGTATGTAGGGGAAGGAGGGTAAACTAGACAACCTCCTGAGACCTGTCAATGCCACCTTTATTTCAGAAAGCCAGGTGTGCCTCTAATGACTTGAGTTCATATAAAGGGCAAAGTGCACTGCCATAAGGTTCTAAGCATCAATTTATTTATACAAAGCAAAGATGGTAACTGATCCCTTTTTTAGCAGTTCTATTTATTGATAAACCTCATCATGGAAATCTTATCATGGTAACCTTTTGCACAGGCCTCTTGTCTCTATGCCATGAGGCTCAGCAGACAGAATACGTTTTGGTAAAGGGATATTGAAAGGAAATTCTTCTACAATATACTGAAGTGTTTCTTTAATACAAGCCAATAAATCTTCCCCTTTATCTGATAACAGCTTCAATAACAATTATTTTATTTTCAGGAAATTCAAATGAAAAGAACAGCCATTGAGGCATTTAATGAAACAATAAAAATATTTGAAGAGCAGTGCCAAACACAGGAAAGATACAGTAAGGAATACATTGAGAAATTTAAACGGGAAGGAAATGAAAAAGAAATACAAAGGTCAGTATTTGATTTTGAATATCATTTCATTTTTGAAAAAACAAACAATGCCAAGTATAGGTCTGCCTAAAACTGAAGCAAGATGACAAGTTTGAAATTGTTCCGTTGTAAGCAAAGAAGCCACAAATAGGATAGGTGTGAACTGGCAAAATGTATAACTACATCTAGAGAAATAATCTGTTCTCTTAGGTGTCTACACCTCTAAATAGCAGACAATAAAGTTATGAATAAGAAATCAGAGTGTAACCTACCACATTGTTCCCTCTAGAATCATGCACAACTATGAAAAATTGAAGTCTCGGATAAGTGAAATTGTGGACAGCAGGCGTAGATTAGAAGAAGACTTAAAAAAGCAAGCAGCTGAATATAGAGAGATAGACAAGCGTATGAACAGCATTAAGCCAGACCTCATACAGCTGAGGAAGACAAGAGATCAGTACTTGATGTGAGTATCATGAATTAACAAATTTTAAGTTGTTTGGTTTTTAATGGTATCCAACTTTTGTGACTAAAAATTAATTTCATTTGCAATTATTGTCCAGGTGGCTGACTCAAAAAGGTGTTCGGCAAAAGAAGCTAAATGAATGGCTTGGAAATGAAAATGCAGAAGAGTAAGTATTGAAAGATTTAGATTTTTCTGGTGTTTCAAATCACCTAAATACAGAAGTGAGATAAGGCTTATTTAAATCTTGGACCACACAGAGGAAATATCAAGCCTAGGTTTTTCAGTAACAATGCATACTATTAATACACGACAGCCTACATAATGCAAGTATTAGAAAGGATGCTATCTTGAGCCCTCTGCTCTCCTTTTTTCAGGGAAATGCATATTAAGGTTACTAAAGCAAACACTGAAATATAACCTATGTCTTTTTTTCTTGCCAGCAAAATTAAGTTCATAAGGTGTTAGTATTTTAGAGAGATGTCATATGGATGGATAAATTATTCAGAACGTCTCTTAGGCATGAGGTTTTTTTCCAAATCTCAACTGTGGGTACCATAATGCTATCCAGTGTAGGGGTACCCACATCATTGTGTCACACTGCTGTTGGAGATGATAAATTTGTATGTGCTGAGGAATATCCTCTGGTTTTGTGATCTGTTTTGTTTTTCTGGAAAATGGCAGGGTAGTATTCTGTCATTTCAAACAATTTAGTTTACTGTAGGTTCTGACAGAGGCTAGGCTGATGAATACATTTCACTTCATTCCAGGGAAAAAAAGACAAAAAGTGCTTGGGTTGTGTAAACATAGACCACATTTAAACAAAAGCAAGACACAAAATAATATCTGAAGCACAGTAACAGTGAAAAATGAACAAATAGAAAAATCAAAATTGTCTCAGTAGTATTTGTATCAACATTTTCTGCCTATGTAGTTTCTTGTGTATCCC